AATATAATATCATTTTGAATATTTGTACATATACATTACGTACGTCTTTTCATATTCACTCTTCACTTTTTCTCAAAATATTTATTTCTATCTTCACTAAATAAGGTTATTTTTGACAAAAAAAAATATTCTTAATTATTGTGCAACTTCTCAAAACGACATATATTAAAAATACGAATATAAAATTTCAAAAGCGGCTTTTGAATAAAACTCTTTTGCAAATAAAATCTAATAATAAATTGGTGGCTGTTTTCTGTAAGCAAGGAATGTATTTATTTGAATATATGGGAAGCATTTAAGACTTTTTTGGAAATAAAATATAATAATAAATTGGTGGCTATTTTCTGCAAGCAAGGAATGTATTTTATGTACATACATTTAATATATCTGTAGAGTTGTATGCACTATTCAAAATAGTGTTCAGGTTTGAAAATATACACACTTTTTTATTTTAATAAATAATAAAACAAAATAAAAATTAAAAATATTGTAATGGTTGCAATTTTATGTCTACGCTAGTATATTTAAATAAATTACGAAGACATGCACTGGCACGAGGGCGACAGGGTGAAAAGTGTATTGCACCGTATTATATAATACTATTATTATAATATTATTATTATTGTAATTGTTATTATTTTATATATATATATCTCTTTCTCTTACTTATAAAAAGGAAGTAAGTGCCTTATTTTCTGACACGTGGCTCTTCAATTGTATGAAACCACGTCGCTGGTTTTGGCAAGGTCATTTTTGGACCGTTGGATTTTAGGGATTAATTCCCAACCGTTCATCTGACCCTTTAAAAAATCTCTCCTCTTTCCCCAACTCTTGCGGCAGAAATCTCTCGATCTTCTTTCAAGATAGGTTTGCAAGATTACTCAGTGACTGCGTTTTTTTCTAAAAAATTTATTGCCACTGTTTAGTTGTATGGTTCGTGCGAGGTGAGTTCTTATGTTTTCGGTCGTTCTGCTTTTAAACTAACCAAGAAGTTTAATTACTTTTTTCTAGGGTTCTTATTTTGGTGTTGTTTGTATTTTTGTTTCACAAGTGACGAGGAGGTCACAGTGCATCGCGCGACAGACTCCAAGTGGCCATATGAAATCCAGACCGAAGACATTGACGCGACGGCGCCCTTGGTGGCGGAGAGGCGGCGTCAGGATGAAGGGGTTCAAACAAAGTATATGACAGCCAACGTGAGGATGAACAAAGATAGAGAATTTGGCGATGGGTGTTGTCTTGATAAAGTTATCATCGATGCTAAGTGATACTCTAGATACTATATCAGAAACCTATGATGCTTAAAACATGGTATTTCTGTATTGTTTTGGTTTTGAGTTATTGATTTTTACCTTTTAAATTTTGTGACTCTTTAGTCCATTATCTATTATTCCAGCATTCTTTCATACTTAATTTTCCCTTTATTTTTTGCTATTGGCTGAAATTCCCTTTGATGAAGCTCTATGTGGCCGTGTGAAGGGAGCATTCGATTCAACCTAGGTATTTGAGAGCTATTGGGTAGACACATATGACGAGCAACACCTTGGAGAAAACTTGATGGGTGACGAGGCCGAAGGGGAGCTTCCGCTGGCAATGAACTCAGCGGTTTTGGGGGATCGCCACATAAAGTAATAATTTATCTGGTGTGAGTTACTTTTAATTTTAATGTATAGTCCTTATGAGAAGCATGGCTTTGTTTAGGTGTAAGATGGATGTAAAAGAGTTAAGGCTTTTCAAGAATGTTGATATTCTTATCAGCAGTTTGATCGAATATATTTATGAGATATTGGAGTCTTGCATCAAAGAACAAGATGTTTTATGCCATCGCTTTATGCCGTGGTTTGCTGATTAATTGATATGGGTAAGCTAATGCTAATTGAAGTATTATAGTGCTTTTGTTTGCTTTGTTGTTTAGTCTCAATAGAATGAATTGGTAACACTGAATTTTGTTTCTGGTGCAACAAGATCTGTGAAGCTCCTTACGACAGGACATGTCATTGGCCCAAATGGCGTATATTTTGGGCCGACGAGCGTGCCATATCGGAAACTAATGCCAGTAGCAATTACAAGTTTGTGAAGGGTAAGTTTTTGTCCAAGATATATTTCCATTTTATATTTTCCTTTTATTTGTGCTCATTTCATGTTTATTTTGATAATCAAAGCTCATGTACTGACTTTTGTTAGCTACTACTATCAGTTACTTTGACAGAGCGTCCGGTTCGGCATTTCAGTTGAAGAGTTCTGTAATTTTCAAAACCTATTGAACTTTAGGCGATAAAATAGGTAAAGCGCTTTTTTTTTTTTTGTCTTTTCGATATTTATCTTTCATATTCATGAGTCTTTGTACTTGTTACAATATGTTGATATTCTAAATTCCTGAATGTTTGTACGCAAGGTGAGTCTTTGTACTTGTTACAACATGTCGACGTTCTAATTTCTTGAATTTCCCTGTCATCTTGCATACAAACATTGTAAACACATGCACTCGAGGATGTCACAACATCATTTTAGCAGCATTTATGTTTTTCATGGTCGTCTATGTGTCTTCAAGCAAGGTACAAAATATTGTTGTTATTTTATGAAGTTGTAATTTTGACTCTGCTCATCACTTAATTGAGACCATCATGAGAATTGATGTATTCGGTTACCACTGATATGATCCAATTGCTACTCTAAGAATTATAGAGGGGATGTTGCACGAGTTTCATATATTATCTCTCCCTTATTTGTTTGTCTTTTGGCTATTTAGTAGGTTAATGTGTTTACCTTTTAAAGCAAAAGTTGATATGTATATTGCTTGTGTGCAAAGTACTGACTTTATTCGAAATTTCATGGTTTGTGAAATTATAGACATCTGCATAGCTTATTTTCCCCTTATTTGTTTGTCTTTTGGGTATTTGGTAGATTAGGGTGTTTAACTTTTGAAGGGAAATTTTATGTGTTATTTATGTGCAAAGTACTCAATTTTTTTGCCTTTGTAGTGTTCTGCTACTTATGATATCATGCAAGAGTACGTACTTGTTAGTTGTGTTGATGGATGCTTTTTCGTTATTTTGTTTTATACATGCAACATAACAATTAAACTCTATTGTGTTGTTTTTACTAAAATTAATCTAACTTAGTGATAAATTTTGTTGCTTTGCTAGATTTTTGATGGGGTAGACGGATTTCCCGCGCATAATCTTTCAGATGAACGCATGCTAATTGGATAGAATGGACTATATATAGCCATCAAGTACACAAATTCTCATTATTCATAGTGTCTCCATATCTAGGTTGATATCAGGCAGTATTTCTCTCATTGTCTATGTGTTTATGTTTGAGAATATTAATGAGATAGAATATTTTCATAATTCAGTATATGAAATGGGTTGTTTAGCTATTCATTAATTGTTGTTAGGCCTCTTTAGAGTTTATTTTGGACACTCAAATATTGTTCTTATCACTTACCTCTTGGGCAAGGACAAAGACAGTTAAAATTAAATAAATTAATATGCTATTGAGCAATGTAATTATTTTTATTTTCTTCATTTTGTCTTTTATTCTTGAAACTTCGCTTATATACTTCATATTTCTTTTTTTAATTTTTTGCAGTAATGGCCGATATCTCAAATATTTATATGTATCGTTATGCTAGAATATAAAGAAAAATAAATGTTCCCTACATGAAAAAAATAAAAGGTGGATATTAAAGGTTCATGCACAACATTCTTATAAAGATTAAACCCTGTTGTTTTCATAAACCATTTTGTATTTTTTTCTCTATGCATCTGTTAGGTTTCCTGTTCCATTTGTTCATCCTTTTTTGGTCCTAAATTCATGACATAATCTAATTATTTATGTGCTTCTCTCATAATGAAGTATTAAATTTATTGACTGTTTTGTAGGTTAATGTCGCTTTTTAAGTTATGGACTGGTGTTGAAGGGACTTTGGATTGTAGAAGACATTGCAGAAATATCCACTTTGTTTATGTTATCAGGTATATTGTATTTATTAAACTGGTTATCTTCTATTATGTGTGTTTTGTCACTCTTTTTTCTCATTGTTCTATCAAATTTGTTCTTATTAATTTAATTCGAAATATTTGAATAACTCATGGTATGATATAAATTAAATATTTTTAATACATATTACATAAATAGCAGCAATTACCTAAAATAGCTTTTTTACTCACGAAGAATTGTCGATGCGACTAAAGTTGGTACTTGTTTGATGGTCAATCCACTTGCGGCAGAAACAGTGGTAAGCAACAAGCTTAATCTTTATATGAACATACATATTTTCGCGCATAATCTATTATATATATATATATATATATATATATATATATAATCCTCAAAT